GCGAGCGCCCCACCCGGCAGCTGCCGGCACCCCTTCCGTCACCCAGCCCCTGCAGCTCTCCGGGCTCCCCTTGACGCTGGGGAGAGCACCCCCAGGACCCCGGGAGAGCACCCCCAGGACCCCGGGAGAGCACCCCCAGGACCAGCCGGCAGCTCTGCACAGCAGCGGCCGGACCCTCTCGAGCTGGCACGGCTCAACCGAGGGGCTACGGCACGGGCTGAACCTACCTAGGACCGCTTCCTTCAGATGCGTGGAGGCTGTAAAGGCAGCAGCAGCCGCAGCAGCTGCATTTTCGGTCTCCAGCGTGTCTTCGTTTATGTCACCGCTGGTAAAAGAGTCAGAGAGGCAGAGTTAAGCCACGTGGATGTGCCACCCCCACACCCGATGCCCCACGGAGACATTGCTTCAAAAGTCACTCGGACTACATTTTCCCACAAGAGCTAGAAGTCGGCTCTGGTTTTGAGAGGCTCAGCTCCGTGTTTCCGAACGGAGACGAAGAGCCCCGCAGCAGCCAGCAGCCCGGCCGGCTCTGCCTTGCCTCCCTTTTAAACCAGCCCCACGGAGCTGCCTCCGGCACAGCCCGTGCAGGGGAGCTGGCGTGGAGGGATGCTGTCAGCACGGCCCCTCAGAAGTCGCTGCCAGACTCTGGCAGCTTTGCCTGAGAAGATTTCTCCAGAAAAAACATGTGTGAAACATGCTGCCGCTGTCTGGGCGACGGACTGGCTGAATCTCTGGTACGCGGGATGCTCCCAGGAGCAGGACCTCGAGGAGCCGCAAACACGCCATAAAGGAGTTCGACAAACCCTAACAGCAGATCCATGCGCAGAGATAACGTAACGTGAGCTATAGACCCTTGCAATCCAATCTCTGAGCCTTTCATAACTCAATATCCCCATGATATTAACTAATAGCTGGCTATCCGACTGCTTTCATCCTCTCTACCCCGGAGATCTCCGGCTTCTCTTGCTGCTTTGCCGACGGAGACGCACAGCTGGTCCTGCACGGCATCCGCACCCTCGCTGTTCGCCCATTCCAGCTCTCGCTTCCGCGTACAGAGCCCCAGGCCCCTCGAACGAGCTTCGGTGCATGCTCAGACGGGAAAGGCATTTAGGGCTGCGATCTGGGACACGCTCCTCACCCCCTCGGCTGGGAGGGTCCCGCGCGAGGGAGGAAGCCCACGCTGGTACCCTTACGGATCCCACTGGCGCATCACGGCCAGCTCTCAGCATGGACCATTCCTAACAGGGTTTTAAGATGTGTTTGCTTTTGTTATTGAAGATGTCTAAT